ATGCTGCCTGACCTGCTGAGTTTCTCCAGTAATTTCTGTTTTTATTTGCTTCAGATCTCTGACATCTGCAGTTCTTTGTTTTACTACATTTTGCAATGTATTTTAAGGTCTAGGTGCAACACCACCCACTGTCACTTAGCCCAAATCACTACAAGCATGACTAATCTCAATTACAAAATGCATTTCGCAGAGGAATATCTCAAGTGATAACATAGGCAGGCACAAGGAAAATGGCTGTGAAGAGATTAGCAGGAGAAGTTGTAAAATTACAACTAATCTTAGAGATGTACAAAAGTTGCAGAAGAGAGGCGAACAGGCAACTCTCAAAGAGAGATCAAGACAGTTGAAGGCTCCACTATCAACCATGGCTCCAAAGGCGGGGAACATAAATCTAGAAACAGATTCTCAATATTCAAGAGGGAATACAAGGCTGAAAACTGTAGAAACTAGGTGAAGCAAGTTCACAATTTATTAACTAACCTCAACATTGTGAACTTAATACACAAAAAGGTTGAGATCCAGTATAGGTCAGCAGTGACAGAGTGGGTGAGTAGGGCTTAGTACGGGATAACGTATTCAGCAAATGTGACATTATTCAATGCAAAATAACAGCAAGACTTTGTTGAGGATTCCCTCTGATTCAGTTGACTTGGAAGCTTTACTTGGTATAAGTTGCTACTTTGATAATGGTAGAATGGATTAGTTAGAGGTCATGAAAATGTAGTGGCATCAGACATATTGGAGTGAATGGGTTTGACAGGTTGGGTGGTCTTTTTCCGCTTCATGGTTTCTGAATTAACACCCTGTTAAAAGAAAACTTTATCTTCTGTAACTCATGCTGTGATCCAAGCTTTCACTTGGTATCTCAAATGTAGGAGGCTAAGGCTGCAATAAGAAACGTGAAGAGAAATAATAGGAAACGATGGCAGACTGCGCTAAAACAAATAGTAAAATGTTCTTCAAACATATTAATAGTAAAAGATTAGTTAAGGATAGAGGGAAGCCCATAAAGGAACAAGCAGGGTATGCAGCTCACAGAAGCAAAGGGTAAGGCAGAGGAACTAAAGGAGTACTTTGCTTTGTCTTGACCAAATTAGAAAATGGTGACATTGACCCAGTTTAAAATATGGGTGTTGAGCAACTGAGCAACATACTGATAAATTTTTTAAAAATGGCTAGCAGTATTCTGGGTAGAGAAGTCACAAGGCCAAGATGGGACACACCCTAGACTGCTGAGACAGGCAAGTGAGCAAATTGCGGAACTGTTGTCAGGAATTTTCCAGGCCTCTCTGAACACAGGACTAGTCCCGGAGGCAGAAGGATTGCAAATGTGGATGCTGTAATTTAAGAAAGGTGGCAAAGGATAATCCAGTAAACTGCAGATCTGTAAGCTTGATATCAATAGTAGGAAAGCTGATGAAGATCATAATATGGCAGGTTAAAACACTATTTAAAAGGTTTATAGGATTCATGGGTTCATAAATAGAGGCATTAAGTATAAAAAGAAGGAAGGTAATGTATCACCTCAACCAATTATTGGTCAGACCACATTTGGAATACCGTGTTCAGTTCTGAGCACCTTATTTAAGGGCTGATATTAAAAACATGGAATGCAAAGGAGATTTAGTAGAACAATAATAGGAATAAGGGATTTCAGGTATAAGGGAAGATTAGAAAAATTGGGCTTATTCTCCTTGGAACTAGGAGTGAGATGAGGAGAAACTTCTTACTCGGAGAGTTGTTAAGGTATGGAATGCATTACCTGGGAGATTTGCGGAAGCGGATTCCATACAAGGTTTCCAAAGAGAGTTGGATATTTATTTGAAAATGATTAATTTAGAGGGTTACGGAGATAGGACTAAAGAATGGAAGAGGCTGGGTAGCTTGTTCAAGAGCTGGTATAGACACAATGGATTGAATGGCCTCCTGCTGTACAGTAAAATTCTACGGCCCTAAGATTCTTTTACTTTACTCTTGGAGCGCTACATACAGAAATTCATCATCTGATGAAAATAATTTAAGAGATCACAAATTCTTGCCCGCAGCAATCCCTTCATGAAGCAAAGTGACATCAACGAGATATAAAGGCATCAGACAGCAAAACAATCATGATCATTGTCACAGGTACACATTCTGCCCAATCCCTTTTCAGTTGTCCAGGACAATTTGCCTACAACATACTTAAAAAACATTCAAGTCATCATCAGCTTTCAGGGAACAAAAAACAACTTCTAGTCCCTATTCTCCAATGTATTCCATTTACTGAAAGGTACTTTCTCAAGAGGTATGTTGTTATATTTAAAGACAATGCAGTAAATGTTGTTGCAACATTTAGCAAAATTTGTAACATGAGACAGACGACATGAATTCAAATACAGTTTAAGTGCATTGATTGCTAATGACAAACAATGGCTAACATTGTTAATGTGACAACAGAAGGCATGTAATATCTCAATCATAGCACATCAGGAATATGGCAGTAAACACTACATTTGAAACGCAACAGCTGTTTACTGTTGGTACAGTAATCCCACGAAAACAGGCAAAATCAACCCACCACGCAAGCAGTTACCATCGATGCAAGCAAACCGATCTATTCACATTTTCTCATCCTGTTCATTTTCCTCTTGAACTTTTCCTTTATCCACCTGCCCAATTTAAATTTGAGTGTCGGTATAGCTTCTGCGTCAACCTTAAAGCCTGGAAGTGAATTCCACAGCTTCAGGTCTTTGCATCAGGAAGTTTCTCCTGTCATCTATTCTAAGTCTCTTACATTTAATCTGCAAGTGTGACCCATCGTTTAGGACTTCTCAATTGCATTGTTCCAATGCCTGAGGTAGATAATCTGGAAAAAGCAAGTCTTTCCAATGAATCAAACAGAACATAAGGAGTAGGCAATTCTACCCGTTCACCCTGCTCTGCTATTTAGTACAACTACGGGTAACCTCATGTCATCCTCCACTGTTTGCTCTCCATAACCCTTCAATCTCTTAGTAATTAAAAGTTTGTATCTCCTCAAATTTACTCAAAGTCCCAGCATCCTCCACATGCCATGGTAGGGAATTCCACAGATTCATGTTGGACACAGCAGAATCATGAACAATTGCTATTCAAAAAAGAAACAGGAGCAGAGATTATGATCTGTTCTTGAAATCTCCATTTGGAATTTGTTCTCCAAGAGCTATAGCCGAAGTATCTCAGACAGATAACATCATTGATAATCCAGCAGATTCACTGTACTCAAAGCAATCCACCCACCCCACAAAAATCATGAAAATAGAAGTGATCAGAAAACCTCCCATTTTGAAAAGCTGTGAAGTTGCAAAGTAACCCTACATATTAAAGGAAAAAAGAAATCAATATCACAATATATACAAACAAATCTTTGCTTTACATTGGTATGGTTGACACACTAATCTGTCAGGACCCTGTTTGGATCTAAAGTAGTTAACCAAGCAAGCTTACTGTACACGCATTTGTTCAATTACAATACTTGCACCCCATTTACTTCTGTTCACTTCAGACCATCATTTCAAATAAATAAGCAGTGCCAATTTAGTTCAGGCACTCTCCTCATACTTCCTGTAACAGAACTCAACTTGCCCAAAATTTTATCACTACCGTAATATCCTGCTTATGCTTTTAGTTTTCCCATTGGTGTCTTGTTGAGCAGTGCACAGATTCAGATACCTTTAGTTCTTATGGCCTCATAACTATATCCGGTCTTGATTCAGCACATGAAAACGAAGGCTAGTCAATGAAATGCACTGCATCACGTTCACCCCAGTGTTCAATCTTTTGCATTGAATCCAGCTTTCATTTGTTAAAAACTGCCACGGACTGAAAGAAGAGTAGTGTGAACACAGAACACATGCTTGACATTGTCTGCAAAATGTTTCAAATATCTTAATAGCAAATTATTAGACTTTTGCACTCATAATACTCCCCCTTTCTGTGCTGTTGTTTCCTTATCAGGATAAAAACAAAAATGTTTCTGGCAGCAAATACCTTTCATTCAGAAAATAATAGCCTGAAATGAAATCCCAACATTTTAAAACAAAGATTGTTTAAATTAAATTATTAACCTGGTGGGAGTGAAATGAGAGAAATCACTTACCTTTAAATGTATTGTCTGTAGAAGGGCTTTTTTAAAAAAAAGTGCTAACATCTAACTAAATATTAAACAACTAAAATAGAACACAGCTCGTCCAAAAAAGCTACATTTCAGCTTCAGAAAAAAATTAATTAATTGAGAATATAAATGTTTGAAAGAGGCAAACCATATAAAATGTTAAAATATCAAAAAGTATCACAGATAAACATCAGTGTTTATAAAATCAATTAATTCCAATCCGTTTCTGCAAAATCCAGCACATTAAAATTGCAAAAATGTGTTCAGAAAATGATTATCTAAATTATCTTTGGCAGAATTTAATAAAAACGCACTTTCTGCGGAAAAGAAAACTACCTTCCATGTGGAGGTTAAAACAAAACGTAAGTGGAGAGAGGTTGCAAAGTGTGAGGAGGGCCTGTGTTCGCTGCTCAGCCTTTCTACAAAAGGATGTCTGGTAGCATTAGAAATGCCTTGAGGATTGTTTTTTTTTCCTCGAGGGGTCGAAGGCTTCATAAGAGGGGGCGGTGGTGGAGGTGAGTGATAATCCTAGGAGGTATGTAAAGTACAGGAGGTGATATGAGGGTCACGGCGGGGAGTGAGTCTGGCTGCTACCTGTGACCCCGGGGGGGGGGCGCGAAAGTGTCCATACCAATTCCCTCCTTATAAATATACCACCACCTGTCCTAATGATCGGCCGCCACAGTCACAAATTTATCCGGCTCCCGCAAATAACATTATTTCTTCTTCTGCACTCCCCCCAAAAAAACCCTTTGATCAAAGAGGGGGTGGGGGGGCAGCACAGGCCGACACCGCCGTCGACCCTCTCTCCCCCTCCCCCAACCCACCTCCTCCCTTTCCATCCCATTCCATTCCCGGATGCCCTTACCCTCGCCAGGGCCGTCCACTTCTTTCATCGTCGGGCATTCCCGGGGCTCGGCCTTTGTCAGGTTCTCCAGATTGGAGCCGGTGGAAGAGGAGGAGGAGGAAGACGACGACGAAGCGGCGGCGGCAGCCATCTTAGGAGTGAGACGGAGAGAACGCGCAGCCAGGCCGGGGACGAGCGCCGCGCAACCGATCGAGAACGCGGGAGGGAGGAAGCGACCGTTACAGCCCAGGCTCGACCAGCCGACCGCAGGCCTCACTGATCGCCCAAGTAACGTCCAACTGGCCTCACCAACAACCACTTCCCTTCACTATGAAGACCAACAACTGCATTGACATAGCGCCAACGAACTATCCCTTTCAAACCCAGTCACCGTGCTCATCAATGGACAAATATGGAGAGGCCCTGAAAAAGGGTTATGAAATACAGAGGCACTTTGCACAACTTATAGACGACCAATTTGATTTCCACGTATGGCATGAAAAAATTGACACCGAGGTCGTGGGGAAACAAACGGTTTTGTTCTTAATTCTTTTATGCTTGAATATCTAAGCTCTACTTTGAGGCATGCAAGAGGAGTCAACCAGCATGCATCATTCACAAGCATTACTCTAACTTTTCTGTCTCCCCTGCCAGGCTCTATTGTTGCAAAATTGTTAAAGTGGCTCAGAAAGAGACCGCTCAGCCCACTGTGTATGCTGCAGCTTTCCAGATGAGCAGTTCATCTTAGTTCCTTGCCTTGGCCCTGGACCTACACATCTTTCCCTTTCAGTCCGGTTTTCATTCACGTGATTCGATTCAATGTACAGGCAAGGCAACAACCAACTTGACACTTGTACAAAATACACTGCAGAAACTCACCAACATTTCTTTGACAGCACCTTCCAAACCGACAATCTAGAAAGACAAGGGCAGCAGACAGATAGTAACACCACCACCGGTCAGTTCCCTCCAAGGCATTCACTATCCTGACTTGGAAATATAACTGCCATTTCTTCAGTGCCACCGGGACAAAATCATGAAACTCCCTCTCCAAAAGCACTGTGGGCCAAATGGAGTACGTGGTTCAAAAATGCAGCTCACTACGACCTATTCAAAGGTAACCACGGATGGGCAATAAATACTAAGCCAGTCAACGTCATCCATGTCCTGTACTTGAATAAGAAAATAAAGGCCATTTTAGCAGCATTTAAATAACCACGGAGTAGGATTGCTGATTGTCTTGGAGTCTCCAGGAATTAGCAGTAAGTCTTCACAGCGTTGTTATAGACAGTTCTTACAAAAATGTGTTTGTTTTATTTGTTTGAACATTTCGGGTTAGCACCCATAAAAATATTTGAGATGGAATAAATGGAGCTGATGGAGGGAAAAGGTCATTTGATAAAGCTTACAGGAAAACAACCAGCTGCAGCTGGCATCCCTAACAACACAGGTAATCATTCCTTTTGATATTGACTGAGGGATAAATAATGACCACAACAACTTGGGTACCTCAGCCTCCACCTTGTTTCTTCAAAACAATGCCAGGGATCTTTCAAGTCCACTGAAGAGGGTCAAACGTGGGCCTTCAGTAAAATATCTCATCGAAAAGGCGGCACTTTTGACAATACAGCCCTCCCTTAACACAGAGATTATAGAATCTCTCCAGTGCAAAAAGAGGACATTCAGCCCATCAAGTCTCCAAAGACCCTCCAAAGAGCATCCCACCCAGATAATAATCCAAGGCTGGGAATCGAACCTGGGTCCTGGCGCTATGGGCAGCAGTGCTAACCACTAAGCCACAATGCCACCCAAAGGCACTGTGCCACCCATTTTTCTGGGAGTGTTTGCCTATTGTACAGTACTCTTGGACTGGGATTTGAATTCACAATTTCTGATTCAGAAGGGAACGTGCTGTCAACGGAGATACAGCTGACACAAATGGCAAACTGAATAAATGCATTGTGTTACGGGGTGGGAGAGAGAGAATCTTTCCAGATTCTTAGCACAAGTGTGTCAGTGGTTAAAAATGCACCATTATGATGAAAGAAAAATGAATTGAGTTTTAAAAGTGACTTTTCCATAGAACAATGTATAATGTGTTCTAGAAAATTCTAATAATGAAAACTAGCAAAAATGTACCACTAACAAAATGTAACATTGTGACAAAAGATTAAATTAAAGAAAAACGTTTAAATAAAATACTAGCACCGTCTCTACGATATATGCATAGTACGAAGGTTGATAAAGTTCTGCTGTGCTGTCAGCACTGCTACAGATTTCAAGACACCCAGGCCGGGAAAGGTAAGAATTAACCATTGTGTTCAGCTTCTATGTGGGGCTCCAAACATTCTCCTTAAATAATTATGTAACTGGTCGATGGCTTTCATACCTTGACCACACCCAAATGTTAATGAAGGTGACACAGTATTTTGTTCATTCACAGGATATGGGTATCACTGGCTAGGCCAGAATTTATTGCCCATTCCTAATTGCCCAGAGAGCAGTTAAGAGTCAACCACATTGCTGTGGGATTGGAGTCACATGTAAACCAAAGCAGGTAAGGAGGACAGTTTCACTCCCTAAAGGACAGTTGTGAAACAGATGGGTTTTTCTAACAAAACAACAAATTTCATTGTCATCATTAGATTCATAATTCCAGATTTTGTTTTTTATCAAATACAAATTCTATCATTTGAATTCCATCATGGAATTTGAACTTGAATGCCCAGGACGTGACCCAAATCTCTAGATTAACAGTTTAGTGATATACCACCAGTCCTAAATACAACAGTTGTCATTATAAAGATCATCTTCCAGATTTTCAACTGAATTCCCCATCTACCAGCTGCCATGGACAGATTTGAACCCTTGTCCCCAGAGAATTAGCTAGGGCCTCTGGATTACCTGTCCAGTGACATTACCATCAGTGCCCTGCTAATTATGCATGATTCATCTCAATAATTGATCCACCCGATTTACTCCAGTTATGCCAACAGGTGCAGTAATTTTTCATTTGCCTCCTTATTTGAACACTTCACAAAAGATCAATCTTCCTCAGATGACATGTGCAAGGGTGGTGACCAGTATCTGCTTTATGCAACTCCTCAATGATGGAATGTAGATCTTTGGATGTTGTGTTCAGTGTGGCACCAAGGAAACAAGGAGGGCGACAGGTGTTGTGATAATGTCATTGCAGCAACTCTAATGTCCTTTAGGGAAGGAAGTCTGCCACCCTTACCTGGTCTGGCCCATGTGTAATTCCAAACCATATCTTTTTTATGCATCCATCTTTTACATCCATATGAGGTTAAGTGAGACCTTGCTATAATGTCTCATTTGAAAAATGGCATCATGTACATGGCACTGCTGGAATAAGAGAGGAGGTGGATAGAAAGAGAGTGCTGGATACAGGTAAGGGGAAATCAGTGCAGGAATTTCAATCAATAGTCAATGAGAAAAGGTGAATTTTTATTTATATAGCACCCTTCACAACCAAAGAATTTGCCAATTGCTTCATAGCCACTTTTTCCAAGCTCTCAGAAAACAGTGATCGATTTGTATAAACAGCAACGAGATGGCTGCTTTTCATATTGGAGCATGGTAGATTACAGCACTCCACTAGGTCAGCTCACTGACTTTTCCCAGATTTTTTTTATTATTCATTCTTGGGAATGTGAGTGTCAGTGGCTGGGCCAGCATCTATTGCGCACCCCAAATTCCACTGGAGATGGTGGAGATGAGCTACTTTCTTGAACTGTTGCATTCCATTTGTTGGAGGTAGACCCACAATGCTGTCAGGGAGGAAGTTCCAAGAGACTGAAGGAATAGTGATATATTTCCAAGTCTGGATGGTGAGTGGTTTGGAGGAGAACTTGCAGAGGGTGGTGTTCCCATGTATCTGCTGTCCTTAATAAAAATCGGAAGAACTGCAGATGGTGTAAATCAGAGGACAACAGATACAAAAACAGAAACCAGCTTTTCCAGCAATTTCTGAGGAAGGGTCACCAAGCCCAAAATGGCAACTCTGATTTCTCTTCACAGATGCTGCCAGACCTGCTGAGTTTTTCCAGCAATTTCTGTTTTTGTATCTGTTGTCCTTGTCCTTCAAGATGGAAGTGGTCAGGGAAGTGCTGCCGAAGGAGCTTAGGTGAATTAAATAACTTTAACATTGGAACTGTCATAACCATGGGTCAGAACACTGAAGAACTACAGACATATTTATTTTGTAATGTCTTTTTTTTTAAAGAGGGCTAATACATCCAAAAATACCTGCAGATGTAAATTAAGTGGCTGTCTGCTGAGAGAAACGCACAGAATGTCACATCTATGAATGTGATCAACAGCAAGCTATGGCCTGCGGGTACTCTGTTGTGCCCAGATCTCAGATGAAGTTCCCCAATCTAGTATGGTTCCAAACAGGACGCTCTAAATCATTCAGCTGCTGAGTGAAGAAAGATGAACCAGTTCCCCTTTCTTCAAAATTCACCTGTCCCTTGGTTGGTCACAAGAGGGTCAATTTGGAGTCTTAGAGTAAGAGTTTTACAGCATGGAAAAAGGCCCCTCATGTCAGTGCCAGTCATCAACCACCTGTCTCTTCTTGTCCTATTATATAACTGCAGACACATTTATGTTTTTCCTTTTGAAATGGTACACAAAGACTGGGGTTAAAAAGCCAAATTAACTCCTGGAGTTTGCTAGTCAGATTTGTTCCAGCCTGGGTTTGAGTATTAGCATGCTATGAAGGTCACAGCTAAACAGCTATACCACGTCACTTGTATTGCAGGTCAAAGCATTCTCTCATTCCAAGTGCTAGAAGTAATTAACTAGTAGCTAAACAAAAGGGAACAGGATAAACAAAATTACACTCTTAAATTACAGTCGAAAGGAATCAGAACTACAGAATCTCAACCAATGTTCAAAACTGAGTTATAAAACATACTGTTCAACTACCATTGTCAACACTACCAGCAACGTCACTGCTATGGTTGCAATGTTCATCTATCTGATTCTCACAAACAGTTCAGAGATTGATCCGTATATCTGTTTTTTCTTATTAAACTTTTATTTCTTTGGACTCATCTGTTATTTTAACCTGTGTCTATGTGTGTTGTGTCACTGATTCTTCTCACATTTAATAATTAATACTCATTCTTTGTTAACATAAGAAAGCCTGTTTAAATTGGCTCCTTTTAAAACATAAGTTCATTTGAGTGTTAGAGCAGGTTATCCAAAGGGAGGAATCCTTTTTAAACTAAATTTTAATTTTAAATGGTTGG